AAGTCGTGTGCTCCATTGTACGCATTGATGTTTATACCGTCTTTAGTCACTGTCTTAGGGAAAAGCTTTTTGAGGACTGTGAGGGTTGCGTCATAGATGCGCCAGCCCAGCGGCACCATGACTGTGTGATTTGGACTCCGGAGGATATAAACTGCAAGCTCTGGGGCCTATGTGCTGAACTGTGTTTGGAAAGCTTATTAATGCTATGCAATGTCTGTGCTTAACTCAAGAACACTTAGCACAAGGGGTGACTTTGGTAAATGCAGTGCAATTCAGTCAAGATCCTCACAGTGTTTTAAAGACCATGACCAAGCCAAAAGACGCCTGCTTAGAGCGTTATATTGAACGTTTGGTGCGTACAAAAAGTTACAGAACCCTGATTAAGAAAAAGGATGAAGTTAGAGAATGATGAGGGGGCACACATGAGATATTTACAGCTACCAAGTTTTATATCTTTTGAAAGGGGGCTTTTGTGACTATCTTCTCTCAGAAGGTTTGTGTGATCCTTACACGAGTAAAAGTTTTGGTGGAACACATGGTCTGTATGTCTTTTAAATAAAATCATTTAAAAAAATAAAGTTTGTGAGAATCCATTTTGTATAAAGGGGCCCATTTACTGAAAACCCCCTGAAAGATGTATGGTAGAAACTCGGGGGAAGGAAAAACCCCTCAAATGTTTTGTTTTTTAAACAAAAGGAAAAAATTACCACCACCACCCCAGTTAGGATTTATTAGACATGAACTCAATGGTTTAACCACACCTCACTGAATAGCCAGGGGGCTCTAGTCAATGGTTATGTTTAGGTGAGACCACTTACCCTCGTTGAGGTTAATGTTCAGTAATTATATTTGATGGGTTGGATGGGTGGGCTCTGATGAATATCTAATTAAATAACACCTCAGGAGTTTGCAGATGCTATTGGACAGTTTAAATATAAGCCCTGGGGCTGGTAGAGCGCTATTGGACAGTTTAAAGGACACAGGCGTTGGTAGAAACGCTATTGGACAGTTTAAATATGACCCAGGAGTTGGTTAAATGCTATGGGCTACTTTTTCTAGCCCTTAAAAATTAAAAAAAAAATTAAGGGTCTAACCCAAAACTGAAATGTTTCAAACTTTTACCCATACTTTAGAACAAGCATTTGCTCTAAAGACAATCAAACATTTAAAAGCATTTTATTTAAACCCCAAGCCTTAAGCATGAAAGAAGCATGTGTTAAAAAACAAACCCCAAGACATTTATTGATATCTGCAAAGGGTCTCCACATGGAAATGGGTACAGCTACATTAAGGATTGGTGCTTTTACTGTTAATACTGTAAGAAAGCCCTACAAAAAATGTATTTTAACTAAAAGAAAAAAAAACTTAGCCCAAAGCAACTCAGGTGTGGAGACAGCTTAATTCTTCCACCCCCAGATCACAAAAGGCAATGCTAGGGAGGGGTGCCTATGTCTTTAAGGATCTATTATTTCAGAGTTACAGTGATCAAATTCACCTGCTAGCTACTACATTGAAGTTGATTGAAGCAATGGGCTAGGAGGGTATAAAAAACCTAGGTATTATGGCGATTGTCCTTTTTAACAGAAACTTTCTTGAATGTCTGCTGGACTGCAATAGGAGAAGGTATGTTCCCTGTTTGTAACTTTGAAAATATATATTCTATAATGCCACTCTTTGGCCATGCTCTCTTAGTAAAATAATGGTGGCTATCTTTATTGCAATGTGATCTGTTTAACATGGATCCAGTAATTTTAAGCTGCAGTTCCCCACCAGGCCAAGGTAAAAACCATTTTTAACTGTAGTTGTGCTTAATACTGTTTAAAAAAAACCTGGATAATACTAACTAACATTTGTGCTTATTCTTTAACCTTAAGGCCCAAGCACACATGGGGGGGGGAACAGAACAGGCATGTGCCTGCAACACTGTCCCATGGTGAAAGGTAACTTTTTTGCAATTGGCTTTTAAATGTATGTGGGGTTTGTGTGTGTGAGTGATTTGTGTGTGTGAGAGATGAAGTCTGTGCAAGACATAGGTGTGTTTTTAAAATGGGGTTTGACGCATTTGGGGGTAATCCTAACTCACATTTTTTCTGCTTGTTTTTTATTCCATAGTCCCAAATATACATAGGGGAAAACAGAATAGCCCTGTGCCAGCATGCCTTTACCCTGTGGTACAAGGTAACTATCCATAATCATTTTTAAAGCGTGTGGGTTATTTTTTTTCTTTCAACTAATTGTAATGTTTAAATTGTGAGTTGGTTTTTTTCAAACTTAATTGTGGGGGAGCTTATTGGTGTTTTTAAACTATATGTTGGCAAACTGCTGGTATAGAGTGTTTGGTGGGCTGCTCTTTCTGTGCCAAATGTATTTTCAAAATAAATGTTCAATTCTGAGTTGGGGGAGGAAGTGATGGGGTTAGGCTAAAAGTATCTGGGATGGTTATAAAAATGTGTGTTTTTAACTGGGTTTTTTATTTTAAGAAAAGCTGGCTGGGGTTAAGTTGTGGGTGATTCAGGGGCTTATGCTAGAGATAAGTGGTTTTTAAAAAACAGTTTGTTGCCTACGCCTGCTTTTAAAAAATATAGTTGCAAATGGTTTTAAAACAGCTGTGGGGAGTTTTTGAAGGTGTGTGTGATGGAGTTTGTAACAGACACAGGTGTGTTTTGAAAATATATGTTGTCAAACTGCTGGTAAGGTGTGTTTGGTGGGTTGCTTTTTCTGTGCAAAATGTGATGTGTTAAATGCATGTGGGTTTTGAAAAGTCTATGGCTGCAAACTTGGTTTGGTGTGTTTTATAAATCTGCTGTTTAGTGTATGTGTGTGGAGGGAGGGGAGAGGGGCTGTGCAAGGCATAGGTGAAGAGTTTTTTTAAGTACTTGGTTTGTTTACACTAACAAGGGGTTTTAAAAGCAGTTTTGGCTTTTATTCTGCAAAATGAGATGTATTTAAAAAATTGTGTGGTTTTTTGTTGCTTGTTTTTTTAAGTGGTAGAAACAAACTCAAAACTCATGTTGGTTGTACAGCCTGAAATGGATTATTTTGTTTCTAAAGCTATAACTTTTTAAATTTTACAAGAGGGCTTCATGTGTTTTATAATAATGTTGTTTGCTCCACAGTACAGTCAAAACATGAGAGGTCCTTAGACGAGAGGGAAAACAAGCTCAAAAGAAAAAGGAAAGAGACAGCTGAAAAGGAAAATTCACCAGCATCAGTGACTGATGGATCGATGAAGCCCAGTAAATATATTTTGCTTATTGGTTTGGTTGCTCTATGAGGTTTTAATTAAATACATAGGTGTGGGTGAGAGAGATGGTAAAGTATACGTGTGTGGGTTTTTTTGTAAAATGTTTTTCCTCACCTCACAGGCATGGACAACTTTTCTGACAATGCTGTAGTCAGAGCTACAAGGACACCTCCTCCAGAACGGCCAAAGAACCAGGAATCTGCTTTGAGACCCTTAACAACGCAAACCAGCACAAGAGTGCAGATGAAGCATCCGGGCGGTCCAAACCTCACATACATCAAACCCGAGGACAAAACAAAAGACTCTGGTAAGAAACAACCATGCAACCACAACTCCAGTTCCTCAGCGGTCACTGCCACACCATGCCCTGAGGAAACTGTGAGCAAAAACGCCCACATTCACAAACCCGGAGCATGCGCTCTAGGGGTTCTGAACGTGCGCAAAACCACACACATTCACAAACCCGGAGCACGCGCTCTAGGGGTTGTGAATAAAAAACCAAGGACTGAAAATTCCTGCAATGCCGAGGTATTGCAGCCACACAAACACCACTCCAGTTCCTCAGCGGCCACTGCCACACCAAGCCCTGAGAACTGTGAGCAAAAATGCCCACATTCACAAACCCGGAGCACGCGCTCTAGGGGTT